ACACCACACACACACACACACACACACACTCACCAAAGCTTTCTCCTGAAACTTCCCACACCTTAAGCTTCCCTGCCTACTTTCCCCCAGATCCGGCCTGGAAGTGTTAGCCTTGGCCTTCCAACTCCCGACCACCTGGCAGAAGTGCAGTACAGGGCTCTGCTCCTGTGGTGCTAGGGGCCCTTTCAGTGGATTCCATGGGAGACCCCTGTACCACTTGGAGTCTTTAGCAATCACATCTCACTGTGGCCAATGGAATAAAAACGGAAATTAACGGAAGGGTGACGGGTGTCCCATAGGCATTTGGGGAAGGCTGGAGAGCCAGGCTCTGCAGAGAGGAACAAGGGTCTGAATCACATCACAAGGCACCCGTGTGGCTCCTTCCCTCCCTCCCATGGCTGAGCACAGACACTGAGGCTTGCACCAGCCATATGGGACTCAAATGCTGCCGTGAGAACCAAGGCTGCCAATGCTCCTGGAGAAACAGGTCTCATGGCCCCTGTCACCTGCCCATCCGAGTGGGATCTGTGTGGCCCCTGCTTCTCCCCAGCTCTGGCAGCAGGTGCATCTGATCGCCAGGCCCGGGTCCTATGCCCCTACCTGGCTACAAGAGAAGTTGGGAGTCTGGCATTTTCTGCTCCTCTTGTAGGAAGTGGGTTCAGCCTCATAAAGTGGTAACTTTCTGGGACAGAAGGAGTGAGAAGTGTCCACTGGGCTTACTGAAATGGTCCAACATTGTCCCACTGCCTGTAGCCTGAAACCTGATTTCCCCATCCCTGAACAGCACCCCTTCAGAGAGCACCCTTCCCCTCCCCCAAGACTGGGGCTTCTGCTCCAGTGCATCTTGCTAGCCTGGTCTTTTTTTCTTCTCGAGAGCAGATCTATTAGCAGGTGAAGGTGGTGTGGATATGTTTGGGCCCATTCTCCCAGGAACCCAAATGTCTAGGCTAGATTTTCAGTTGCTCCATAAGTGCTATCACTGTTCTGTGGTGAGATTTTCACATTTTAAGATTCCTCAAATTAAAATACATTTGGGGTTTTTCAAAAATCTATCAGTCTAATGCTGACTTTCTCACCAAGGAGGCTAGAGACCTCCTGGGCATGACAGGTCCTTGTTTCACGGCCCCAAGCCATGGGGCCCTCACACACATTTAGCAGTCCTGAGCCCAGGGACTAGATGCCAGTAGCATCTTCCCCACTGTGAAGGAGAAAACCAGAATCACCCCACCCACCCTCAAAAGACCCAGGACACAAAGCATCCCAACAGAACAGGTGAACCCCGAACTTTATAATTGACCTATAAAATGGAAAAAAATACCCTCAACACATTCTGGTCGGCCAGTCAAAGTGCCCACCCCACCCCCTCATTGGAGAACTCTCCCAAGGGCGTGGAGCAGGAATCATATTCCGGCCCTCGACCTCCATCCCCAGCAAACCCTTCCCTCAAATGCCCACAGCAGAGGCCAGACTCAGCTGAAACTTTCAACGAAATTTATTAAAGAGAAACATTGACTGAAACTACTGAAAAGAGGGAATGACCACACAGGCAGGAACTTCTAACGGCCACTAAAGCCCACAGATCTCAGCCCCCTCCTCCTCCCAGGGTCCCTCACCAGGTGTCTCAGCTGCCCCCCACCGTGCTGCGGCCCTCCCCACATAGTCTCCCTTCCTGAGGGCCCCACAGTCAGCCTCTGGCCAGGACGGTGGACCCCAGCAATGACCGCTGCCCCCAGGGCACCCCTCCCCCTCTGGCCCACATGCTGGGGCCTGGCCCTGCCCTCTGGCCCCCACAGGACAGTCCAGGACACTGCAGAACACGGCGGGGAACGCTCCCCCAAGCCCAGGACAAGGGGTCACGAGGAACAGCGATGGCAGATCACAGCACGGTCCCCGAGGACCCTCCGCAGCCCCCAACCTTCCCCGGCCCAGTTCTTCCTTCCCGAGGCCACCAGGTGGGCGTCGTCCATCTGTCCATCCCGCCGTCTCCTGGGACCGGGCTGGGGTCTCCGGGCTGGGCTGGGGGTACTCTTCAGAGAAGAACACACACACATCTCCACAAGAACAAGCAGCGTTTGGCCTAAATCTACTCCGACAAAGCGGACATGGAGCTCACGACACTGGGCCAGAGCGAGCAGAGCCTTGCTGCCCTGAGCTCAGGGCACGTGGCCGGGCCCAGAGGTGGCGGCCCGGGTAGGAGGGACACCCGGTCTGGGTCCACGGGCACCTCAGGGCTCTGCACGGAAACGGGCGCTGGTGTGGGGGGTGGTGAGGAGATCACTATGGGGCCACAGAGACACAGGCTTCCTATGGGCTTCCTAGTACAGGGAGCAGCCTGCCCCAGGGGACGGTGACTAGGGGCCCCTCTCGGAGGCCCAGGCACCTTGACATGGCCCCTGACATCTCCCAGGGCAGTGTGGGGGCAGACGTCTTCAGGTGGCCCTCACCGAGGCCGGGGCTGGGCACTCAGGGATCCTCCCGGGCCGGCTGCCCCAGTTGGCAGGGCTTGGGGCTGAGGCTGGTGTGGTGTTGCCATGGTGGGGGAGGCGCACCTCTCCCCGCCCCATTTGGTGTCTAACATGGTCATCGTGGTCACTTGGAAGGACTCATGGTGGTGGGTGGGGTCTCTTGCAGGTAATAGGGGGCCCAGGGAGTTGGTTTGGGCTGGGCTGGCCCTTCCCTCCACCCTGCTCCCCACCTGGGGCGAGGTGGCTGCCTGGCCTGGCCTCTACCTGCCTCCAGGCCAGGGGGGCCCTGGGCCTGCTGAGCCTATTGACCCGAGGAGGACTTGGGAGGGCTCATCTCCAGAGCCCTGTCCTCATTTCCCAGGTCCTCTGGGATGGGCTTGAGCCCCTCCTCGGGGGGCCCCTCAGCCTCCTGGTCTCCTGCCTGGGTGAGGTTCTCTGGCTCACAGCCAGGACCTCCTGGGGCCTCCTGGGAAGCACAGCCCGTGTGGGCAGGGATGGGAGGATTTTCGTCTCCCTGAGTGGCAGGGGAGGACTTGCTGGTCTCCCCAGGGACAGGGGCTGCCCCAGTGGCAACGTGGGTTTCAGGGGCAGCCTCGCCAGCCTCGCCAGTGCCAGGAGCCCCCTCGCTGGCCTCTTCACAGGCTGAGGTGGCCTCAGTGCTACCTTCCTTGGAAAGGGCACCCTGGGCGGTCCCTTCACCTGCTGGGGAGGCCTTGGCTCCATCTGCAGTGGTGCCCCCGGTGACGACCTCCTGGGCTGAGGAGGCCTGGGCACCATATTCCTGGGCCGGGACAGCTGGGGCACCTGCCAGGTCTCCAGGGTTCACGCGGGCCTCTTCTTCCATTTGGAGCTGCTCGCTGCCCGCTGGGCCAGCCTCCGGTGCCTCGGTCTCCCGGATGAGCCGCAGCATCCCCACGAAGCCCGGGGGTCTCCTCTCCAGCCTCATCCTCCTCAGCCTGTTCTGGAGAGCAGCACTCGAGCGGGCCCGCATCAGCACCTGCCGGGCACGCACCTGGTCTGCGATGGCCGGGTGGATGGCCCCCTTCTCCAGGGCCGACTGCAGCAGGCCTTCCAGGCGCATCATGTAGGCAAAGAGAGTCTCCTGGGGCCGCTGGGCGCAAGTCATGAACTTCAGCCGTGCGGTCACCCGGGTGTCCTTGTTCCCAAACGCCTGCACCAGCGCGGCCAGGCAGTCGTGTGCGGCCATGTCGGGATCTTCCGCCAGGAGGCCACACAGGAGATCCAGCGCGGGGCCGCCCAGGCTCTCCACCAGCCTCCTCCTCCTCTCCCTCTCAGACACGTGGCGCCACAGGTACAGCATGTCGTTGGCGTGGTCCAGCCAGCTCTCAAAGGACTCCTCCCCGGGGCCAGGCTCTTCCAGCCCAGAGAAGGGTCTCAGGCCCTGAGAGCCCATGTTTTCCAGCACAGGCTGCAAGACCTGCCTCCATGGCCGGCTCCCGGCTCTCGCCTCGACTATGGCTGCTGCTGCCCCCGCAGCTGCTTCCTCCCCTGGGGCTCCTGCCTCACCTCCCGCTCCCGCCACACTCAAGGATCCTGCTATGCCTGCAACTCCTGTGTCACCTGCGGCTCCCTCCTCATCTGACACGCCTGCTTCATCTGCAGCTCCTGCCTCACCTGCAGCCCCTTCCTCACCTGCGGCTCCCGCCTCACCTGCAGCCCCTTCCTCACCTGCGGCTCCCGCCTCACCTGCAGCCCCTTCCTCACCTGCGGCTCCCGCCTCACCTGCAGCCCCTTCC